CAAGGCTCGGATCTTGTTGGGGTTGGTCTCTATTTCTCTATGTATGATCATAAATCCTAAGAACTTGCCAAATGCCACTCCAAATGCGCACTTCGTAGGATTCAGCTTCATCATGGACTTCCGTAGTGTAACGAAGACCTCTTCAAGGTCCGAAATATGACCATCCACTCGTTCGCTCTTCACGACCATGTCGTCCACGTATACCTCGATGTTCTTTCCCATCAAGTTAGCAAAGACTTTGTTGATAAGTCTTTAATATGTAGCTTATGTGTTCTTCAACCCGAATGACATGACCCTATAGCAATAGATGGTTGAATCAGTCATAAATGAGGTCTTCTCTTGATCTTATTTTGCCATAAAAATTTGATGGTAGCCAGAGAATATATCCAGAAAACTATATAATTTATGGCATGAGGTGCTGTCCACCTGATTATCGATCAGCGGTAGGTGATAGGTATCCTTAGGGCATGCTTTGTTTAGATCTGTAAAGTCGATTCATACTCGCCACTTCCCATTGGCTTTCTTCACAAGAACTACATTAGCAAGCCAATCGGGATATTGGACTTCCCGGATGAATTTCTCTTTCATGAGCTTAGAAATTTCTCCCCGTATGACCTCCCGTCGCTCAGGTGCAAATTGTCTCCTCCTTTGTTTCACAGGTCTTGCATCTTTATTCACATTGAGTATGTGTACTGGGACTTCAGGGTCTATTCCAGGCATATCTTCGACATTCCAAGCAAATATATCGATGTTACGGGATAGGTAGCTAATAAGTTCAGCTGTGGTCGTGGAATCAAGATCTCGACCAATGGTGAATTTTCTTCCAGGCTCGAGCTCAACCTCGTCTATCTCTTTCACCGGGGCAAGCCTCCTATGATGCTCGAGGTCAAGCTCGACCTTAAAGAGTTGTATGACGTCAACCTTGATTTCTCGAACGCTAGTAACATAGCACTGTCTACGTACTGTTTAACTTCCTCGGACGACTCTGACCCCATTACTTGTAGGAAATTTCACTGCTAGGTGAAAAGTTGAGACAATTTCCTTGATCATATTCAGCAAAGGCCTTCTAAGAATGGCGCTGTAGGCCATAGAAGCACGAACTACTTGAAAAGTTGTGATCTGTGTTACCTGCCTCTCTTCTGATCCCAAGGTAAGAGGTAACCCTACAATGCCCTCTGGAATGATGACACCACCTCCGAATCCCTGAAGGGGAGTTTTGACCAGGTTGGGCTGCTCGGCTGATATACCCATCTGAACGAAAGCCTATGTTCCATTGTCCACCAAAATTCTTCTTACCTCAAAATTAGTAGCGATCGCCGATATAACCAAGGCATCGTCATGAGGAAAAGACACGCCCTCTAAGTCCTTTGACCCGAAGGTGACGTCTTCTACATTACCGAGATCTGAGCTTGAGATCGAGTGGCATTGTTTGGCATGCTGCTTACACCCAACGTTGGAGTCCCCTTCTAAGGCCTTTGACAGAGACATCTTAAACGCCTCACATCTTACGACATATGTCAAGACAGAGACTGGAGCTGTAATTTGTAGATCGAGGATCATAAATCTTTCCTTATTAAACCTTGTCATGAAATTGCGAAGTATCTCGCTGGGTCCCTGACGCATCTGTATGAGTGACGCGGCTGTTTTTCTAATGCGCTTACTACTTGCAAAGAACGCAAAGAACTTGTCTGCCAGGTCTGAAAATGAAGATATAGAGTTAAGCTCCAATGTGGAGAACCAATCCCTAGCCGCATTGGTAAGTGTCTGAGGAAAGGCCTTGCACATTACAGCGTCGGGTGCGACCTACAAGTTCATGATATCCGTGTATATGTTGAGATGGTTGATGGGGTCAGTCGTCCCATCATACTCCTTCGTCCCGAGGGTATTTAAATCCTTCCGGTAAGGGGTATGATAATAATTCCGACCGTAATTCCCACTTGGATGATCTGTGCAAGATCGGCATAGTCCATAGTAATTGATCTAGAACCTAAGGGCATGTGATGTGCGTCCAAAGCTCCAGCATCACCGTGGCTAGGGCCGGGGGCCCAATCATCTGTCATAAGACCACTCTACGGGGATAGTGCTGGGGTGTACTTTTCTGATGTAATTGCTGAGTCAGTGTGGCCACTTGCTGGCAGAGTTCCTTAAACGCTCCGAGAGCGACTATTATCGACTAGTGTGGTGGTTCTCCGGATGATATCTCCTGGGACCCAGATGGTCTCCAATAGGGGGTTGGTTAGGAACGGATGAGCTTGTCGGAAGATGTCCTGAATGTGTGTTAAGCATGGCTTCTGGTAGCTTTTTCCACATACGGTGCCAATGATGCTACCAAAAATCCGTACCTGAATGAACTCGAACCGACTGATGGAACTCCGCACGATTTGGTCTTCAATACTTAAAACAAAGGCGCTGAGGCGTGTCATGTCGCCCCTCCGATACTTAAGTCAGAAAGAGGAATTACATAAAATATTATAAGCTGTAATATTATTGAATAACGTACCTGAATAATGAGGTGGGGTTACATATTTACAGATGTTTGGAGATAGAGTTATAAAAGGATCCAACTTCCCATAACCTCTATCCTAGCAAGGAGCTTGTGCTATGTTAGAAGTGTACAATTTGAGTTAGGGTAAAATTTGTAATGAACTAGGGGCCTGTTTGGTACGGCTCAAAATCCAATTAAAATTGAAAATATAGCCGTTATTGGGCCCCACTCATCTAATAAAAGTCAACAATAACGGCTAGTTTTTCAATTTTAATCAGATTTTAATCTCTACCAAACACCCTCTAGGAATTGTACTTAAATATGACTATCATCCCTAAGAGTTGTACATTAAAGTCAAAGAGAATACGTGGGGGTAGGGATGAAGACCCGACCTATTGTTGGGCCGGCCTCGAGCGCGACCCCGACCTCAGAATGGCCCAAATTAGTAGGCCAAGGACGGGCCATTGAGGTCGAATTCGGGTCTAGTATGTATCAAAAACAATAAGAAAAAAATAATTACAATCATAGTCCTAAATTATTTTAAAAAGCGCAAATATCCCCAAAAGAAATTATTAAAATGATAATTAGCACATAATGCTTATATATTTAACTATTATTGCGAAAAACGTCTATATGTTTCTTTTTGACATTTTCATCCTTGATTACACATTTGATTGCGCAAACCATCATTTTTATCCATTTTCATCCAATTTCTTAGTAAATAGCTGTGAAATGATGATTATACCATTTTATTTAAATTTAAAAAAAATTAAAGAATTAATTGCAATCATAATCTCAAAATTTTGTTAGAAAGTGCAAACGAGTCCCAAATCAATTATTAAAAAATTAGAAATTAATTTAAAAAAAAAAACTAAAGTGCAAACGAGTCTCAAATAATTTTATTAAAAAAATTTTAAAAATTGAAAAATACAAACGAGTGTCAAATAAATTATTAAAAATTAAAAAATTTTAAAAAATTAATTTTCTTTAATTTTTATTTAAATAGAATGGTATATTCATCATTTTGCAGCTCTTTATTGAGAAATTAGATGAAAATGGATAAAAACGATGGTTTGCACAATCAAATGAATAATTGATGGTGAAAATGTAAAAAAAAAGTGTGGATGTTTTTCTCATGAAAGGTACGGACATTGTTAATTACCTTTTTAATAATTTATTCAGGATTCATTCGTATTTTTTTTAAATTTGAAACTATTATTATAATTAAATTTTTTTATTTTTGTTTTATTTAAAAAGAAGAATATTTGTCATTTCACAATTTTTAATTAAGAAAATTGGTGAAAAAGAACTTTTACACAATACAAAGTAAAAATAAAGATGAAAATGTTAAAAAATTGATGACACTAACGCTTCCCATCGTAGCAGTGGAAGGTGGGACTTTATGTGCCTAATTACCCTTTATTTATATTTACTCGCTCTCTCTCTCTCTCTCTCTCCCTCTCCCCCTGCGGTTTCTGCTGTTGCTCACAGGATATTGTGGATCGACAATCTCGTCGTCAGACTCAAAGATCCGATATACTTTCTTCTACGTTTTGGTCTGTACAGTATCTTTTAGTTCTTGATTCTTCTTGCAGTTTGTCTAATTCAGATTCTTGGCTTTCTAACCCAAGTGTGCGTACAATCAACTGTTTCTTCTGCGAGTAAATTTACGTTTTTCAATTCTACGACTATCAATTTTCACAGTATATTAAGCGTTTAGTTGTAATCACCGTTTATGTGATTAATTCAAGGAAATCCCAATGCCGAGAACATTTTCTTGAATTTAGAATTTTAGGGCATTTTCTATAATTGCAATCGCACTCCCCTAGAAAAGATTGACAAATGGCTTCGTGATAGAACAATCTGAAATAGGAATTTCGCTAAAGGTTGTGATTTTATCTATTGAAAAAGCACATTTGTGATATTTATAGGTGGAAAATATGATAAATATAAACAGCTGGTTTCTTGTCCTTTCACTTGTTTCGATATCGGTTGCCCATGTTAGTAAAGTTTTGCGAGTCAGAATCACCGAGAATGTGGCGTAGTAATACTTTTTTCTCTGCGGCACATTTATGTAACTTCAAGTGAGTTCATTGCTCTGCACATAATTTAGTTCTGCATTTATTTTATAAGTATATGGAATTATTTAAGTATCAGCAACTTTAAAGGACTTTCTCGCCAGTAGGCTTTATAGCAGACCTGCCTTGCTTACTGCTAATATGTTACATATACAATAGCAATTACTCCTTTCTTTTGATTCTATTATTATCTTTATCTTGCAAGTAACCACTATTTTTCTTTCTCGAGGTACAAGCTGTTTTCAGGATATAAAAAGCAGCTAAACAATTCATAAACAAATTTCGAAGACTGAATTAACTTCTGCTAATTTTCTTTTATTACTAGAACGAGCATGCAGAATCAGGAAGGGCATGCAGTAGATGCAGACACGGTGACCTTGACATCCATTCAAACATCTGAAATTGATGATTGGGAAAATTTCAAGGATGATGATATTATGCAGCAGCAATCTGCCATTCAGGCTGAGGAAGCCGAGAAAATTCCATTTGTTGGTGATAAGGCAAGAGAACTCCTGATACCTGAAAGAATTAGCATTTTTGCAGATAAGATCATATGTGTCATGTTCCTGAGATCTTAAATCAACCTTCATTTTGAATTTTTGTGTAACTTACAACTTAATATAATATTCCATCTCAGGTAGAAAATTTTTGGCCATTGGATGTGTTTATGTAATCTTGGTTCCTGCTTCTTGTTGCTACCTGCCTGAAACATTGTTACCACTCTTCTCATAACATAATTTAATCTCGTGTTTGTTGCATATATTCAAGCCTAGTTATGTACATGAAATAAGAATAGTTTGGATGAGTAGTTAAATTTGCTGCTTGACTTATGTTAGAAGAATGTATAAACTGCTTTAGCATTCAATCTTTGGTTTGCAACGTCAGATATGGTATTTATTTAACCAACCACATTTCTTTGAGCCTAGGATTTGGGGATTCAAAATTACATCCTTTTGTTGAATTACTAATTCTTCAAATGTTTAGCATGTGGTCCATGTGGAATTTGAAAGACGAATTTCTGTTCTACAAGCTCTTGAATGTTGCAAACACTTATTGTAAATGATTACACGTTCAGGAACCTCTTTCATCATTAGCTGTTGAGTACAAATCAGGAAACGCCATTTTACTGGAGAAAATTAAGGTTTGTACAGTTATCTTGTAAAATGGTTTCTACGGATGCTTCTCCTGAGTTCTAATTATTGTTGAAACTTACTTAGGTGCTGATCAAGCAATATGCTGCCATCAGGCGAACTCGAGGAGATGGGAATTGTTTCTTTCGCAGCTTCATGTTTGCTTACCTTGTATGTTTCATTAGTTACATTTTGAAACTTTCCACAATATCTTTGACCTTGTACAGATCTGTATTGAAGTCATATTCCATTTTAACTAGCTGTTGATATAGTTTTTTTTACCAAAAATTAAGGAACATATTCTAGAATCACAAGATCGAGCTGAAGCTGACCGCATCACAGTCAGTGTGGAGCAATGCAGAAAGACACTTCTTAGCTTGGGCTATGCAGAATTTACTTTTGAAGATTTCTTTGCGGTATTCATTAAGTTGAACAATATTTTTATCTTTTCACATTGGCCTATATATATCAAGTATTGGTTTATTATTAGAATGTCTCTTCTATGTATTTTATGCACGCTGTTTATTGAGAAAGAAAGTAATAGTAATGTTCGGGATCATTAAATAAACGAACCACGTGCTAAACATTTCTCATATAGCATGCTATCTTACATCAGAAATGTTTAAACTTGCAATACTTTGGGTTTCCTTGTTGACCAGCTTGTGATGCCTGTAAATGCAAAACCACTATTAGTTGATACACCCTGTGGCATGTTGTCTTTGCTGCTATTATTAATGTTATTGTCAGGGACATTTGGAATGTATCTGGTTTTGCCTTCAGTTGTAAAGATTCATAGATCGAAAGCCAGAATATTTGAGGCTCCTTTTAGAGTTATAGAGAGAGACCAAAAATGACTGGAGATATGTTAAATGACATAAACTGGGTTTCCGTTTGGTTGATTCTGTATTGATTTAACTGTCTAAAGCTTGTCTTTCTGATTTGATCTACATATTTTCAGCTATTCCTTGAGCAACTTGAAAATGTTTTTCAGGGGAGTGAAGGTTCTATAAGGTTTGGAAAATTCAGTTATTGTCTCTTGTTATTTACTATTGTAACCTGCAAATAATTCTTCTTCCATTTCATTAGAGGAATATTTAAAACACCATAATTAGTACTGTTACCATTGCTTGCAGTCATGATGAACTCGTACAGAGAAGTAGGGATCAGTCGCTGTCTGACTATGGTGAATGGCATAGTGAAATATTTTGATTGCATCAACTATATGAAACATTTAGTGTATTTTATTATTTTCTATTAACAAAATTTTGTTGGTTAGTCGTAATGTTCTTCAGATTTGTTGCCTCTGGGGAAATAAGGAAGCGCTCAGAGTTCTATGAACCATTTATACAAGGATTAACAAATACCTCAGTGGAACAGGTACGTAGCTAGCTAGAAGGTTCATATTATCCTTCCAAATTTAAACATAATTCTCCAGAAAAGTTTACGAGAATGACCTTTTCATTTGGTTTTTGTGTAGTTTTGCAAGTCGATGGTGGAGCCTATGGGTGAAGAGAGTGACCATGTGCACATAACAGCCTTGTCTGAAGCATTGGGTGTTCCAATCCGTGTAGTTTATCTTGACAGAAGTTCTTGTGATAATGGCAATGTGATTGTGAACCATCACGATTTCATTCCATCTACAAAAGGGGATCTAACCTATGGTAACGTCAGGGGTTCGGAGACATTGAAACCGTTTATTACTATGCTTTATCGGCCTGGTCACTACGACATATTGTACCCTAAGTGACTTTTATTCGCGTGCACTCTGTTTTGATAAGGTTTGTTGAATGACTACTTGAATTATGGACACTTTTTGGCAGTCTTAATGATTGAATTTTACCTTATTAGATTCAACTTCCAAGGTTTTGTACGGTTAGTGTTGCAGCACGGTTCTCAATGGAGAATATGAAATTGTACCTACGCCAATAACGAAAATGCATTTAGCCCCTTTTTGAGCCACATTAGTTTTTTTATTCACATTCTTCTACTTATTTTTCAGCCACGTATTCTTCAATAAAATAATATTTTTCATCACATCAATAACGTTTCCTTCTTTTTCGACCACACATTCTCCATCAATCTACTATTTCAAAATACATTCTCTCAAAATAATGTGGTTGGAAAAACCCAATTATTTTAAAACTTACATCTGCAATTATTACACTAATAATCATTTACTCTTCACTATTGGAGTTTAGAGGAAAGTGATTTTAATTCTATACTCTAAAGAGGAGTTTATGAAAATAATGATAATTAGAGAAAATTACTTGGAACACTAATTTTCAAGTTTCAATGTAAAAAATGGGGTACTTAACTTTTTTTACTTTTTTTTTTTTTCAAAAATCTGGTATATCCACCCCACCCCCTCCTAGTTCATACACGCGTCTTTTCTCTTATACTAACAAAATCCCCAAATATAGGGTATAATTGGCAACCAGAAGGTTACCTACCACTACTGTCATGGTATTGCCACCCTCATTTGCCACCCTCATTTGCCTCCGCCTCCTGGGACTTGATCGAACAGTTGAATTTTTCTTTACACACCCTACGAAACCAAGCTCAAAGCCCTAAGAGAGCTCATGAACCAAATCATTGGCGAGAAAGTTAAAGAGGGGTTGATTCTGCCGTCAGAGGGAGGTGAGGGGAAGAAGCGGTGAATGAACTAGAAGAAGCCTTGTTCTTGGAATTCAGAGGGGGAGGAGTGGAGAGTTGGGTTGGGGTGGGGGAGAGATAATTAGTGTGATGATGGGGGTGGTGGCTGCAAGGATGGCGACTATAGTCTATAGATCTAGAGGTTGCTGTGACAAAATGGGTGGAGTGGAGTCGAGAGGAGCAGTGTGGAATGGGATGAAAAGATCTGATCAGTTAATTGTGTAATTTGTGACGAATTAATTATTTGATTGGTGAGTTAGGAGTTGTTTGAGTCGCATGTTTTATATAAAATGTAATTTGAAATAGTAGATTGATAGAAAATGTGCAGTTAAAAATGAAGATTTTTTTATTTAGATTGTATGTAATATTATTTTATTGAAAAAAGTGTGATTTAAAAGAAGAGTGAAAAATGTATTTTGAAAAAAAAATAGGATCAAACAAGGTCTTAATATGTGATTGTAGTCCATTAATTGTGCAGTATGTGATAGTGATTATATGTGATTTTCTAACTTAGTATGTGTCAATTATCCATAAATTGTATTGTGATTGTAACTCGTTTAATTTCAATTTATAAATCAAAATATTTAGCAAAGGTCACAATGATCACAATTGATTTTTGGAAGTATTTTATAAATTTGTTATTTTTGTAATTGTATTATTAACTATAGTACGAAAATTTTCCTTTCAATTAAGCAAACATCAATGTCCAAATAACCAAAGGTTGTCGTTGTATGGAGGACCATCCATTGGCAATTTGGCATCATTAAACAAAAAATTATGTAGATAACATTTTCAATGCATTCTTTGAATTACTAAAAAATTGTCATAAGCAAAATTGTGTTCAAAACAAAATACTCACTCGATCCCATAAAAATATGTTTGCTTTCTTTTTTCGTATATCCCAAATATTAGGTCACTTTCTTTACAGAGATTATATATTTATTAATTTTCTAATGTACCCATATTTAATGTATCATGTATTATGAAAAATATAAGTGAAATTTATATTTTCAATTATATTAATTAAATTTTTTAATCTGTGTAACGATGGAAGAAAGTCTATCTTTATGAGATGGGTGGAGTATTTTAGATTCTTCTCAAAATACGATTTTAAAATTAACAAAAAATTGGTGCTTTAGTCGAAGAACTCTCTTCTTAAAATCCCAATTCAGTCAACGTGGTTAGAATAACTCCAATGCATTTAATGAATTGCAGTCTAAGTTACATTCAAGTAGACGAGTTTTTAGTAGATGAATTTGTAATCTACAAGGCACTGATTTCTAATGAGACCGTCGAATACAAAATTGATTTTCAATGGATTCTATCTACAATTTTATATTTTTGAGTATGTGTCATTTACCAACATTAAAATAAGATAAATAAAATGAAGAGGAAGAGCGGGAAAATTTATTACTCTATAAACAAAAATAGATACATACTTCTATACAAGAATTTAATCTTTTTCTTTGATTGCTTGAATACTTTCTTAGTCACGAGTTTAGTAGAGCCTCCACATTTGATAATGTTGGGATCATATTGCAATGGAGATAATTTTTTCAGACATTATTTATTTTTCTCATATAGCATCTTTTAAGATAATTCACATTAATATTGGTGGTGCTCTTAATGCTCGATGGAACCAAATCATGCCATAGAATGCTCTACCATATCAACCGATTTTCGTGTAGTTTTGCAAGTCGATGGTGGAGCCTATGGGTAAAGAGAGTGACCATGTGCACTAAGGGGCATAAAATATCGATATTTGATAGTTTTTTTTAACAAATATATCATAAATTATTTTATTTTATGTTATGTTATGACTCGTTACTAGGGACTGCCATGTGGCCATCGTAATTAAGTTGTAGGACCCGATCCAACCCAATCACCTTGCCTCTTTCTATGTAGACCGAGGCCCCTTATCAGCCGAGGCCCTATTACTTCTGAGGCAACCCCTGGATACGAGGCAATCCCTGGATTTGCTCATGATGAAGATCTTTATTCGAATTATTGATGTGACCTTAGTAAAAATTGTATTTATGTCTTGTCTTATCAATGTAAGAACATTAAATGCTTTTAAAAGCTAGGAAGTCAAAATGATGGCTAGGATTTGATGTTTCGACCGTAGGGATGAGGCCACGTGTAATTTCATCCAAAGGACACCATTTCATTTGTAATACTATAAATACCCCACCATGTAACAATTGAAGGCCAATAAAACTTTAAACACTCAAAGCAACATATCTTATTCTCTGATCAGTTTATTACAACTACAAATCTTCCTCTTATCCATTCATCATTATACATTCTTGTTCTGTAAATCCTGCAGGAGCCCGAACGGAAACTTCTTGTGTTGTTGAGCCCCTCCCACGCCCAATTTTTGGAGCGATCTCGACCGTATATCTACCTTAACGTTCCGGATATGGCTTTCAACCTCGGCCAGTTCAATTGTGAAATCGCCTCAACTTCCAATTCAATTGTGAACTCGCCTCAACTTCAAAAGAATTTCAGCTTCAATAAACCTTTTAGCCTCTGCCTGTTCAATTATGAATTCGCCTCGACTTCAATATTAAATTCAATTGTCCATGACATTAGCCTCGGCATTTCGGTCACGACACGCTTCTGCTTTGGGGGACTAGTATTTCTATTCTAAAGTAAGCCAGACTTAAATCATTTGTTAAAACTCCATACATGACATAAATATCTATGCATAAACCTGGGGGACTAGTATGATGGACTACAAATTTTAAAATTTTTTAACTTCATTACTGAAGTCCAGGCATGACATAAATAATCACACATGGACTCGGAGGACTATCGTTATGACTCGTTACTAAGGACTGCCACATGGCCATCGTAATTAAGCTGTGAGATCCGATCCAACCCAACTGTCTTGCCTCCTTATATGTAGACCGAGCCCCTTATCTGAGGCCCTATTATCAGCAGGGGCCCTATTAATTCTGAGGCATCCGCTGGATCCGAGGCTTCCCCAACTCGTGACTGCCCACATCCAAGGATTTACTCATGATGAAGATCTTTATTCAAATTATTGATGTGACCTTTGTAAAAAGTGTATTTATGTCTTGTCTTGTCTTGTCTTGTCATGTCAATGTAAGAGCATTAAATGCTTTTAAAAGCTAGGGATGATACCACGTGTAATTTCATCAAAAGGTCGTCATTTCATTTGCAATACTGCAAATACCCCACCGTGTAACAATTGAAGGCCAATAAAACTTTAAACACTCAAAGCAACATATCTTATTCTCTGATCAGTTTATTACCACTACAAATCTTCCTTTTATCCATTCATCATTATAAATTCTTGTTCTATAAATCCTGCAGGATCCTGAATGGAAACTTCTCGTGTTGTTGAGCCCCTCCCACGTCCAATTTTTGGAGCGATCTCGACCGTATATCTACCTTAACGTTCCGGATATGGCTTGCGCATGCACGAGTGGGCCCGAATTTGTTGAGTTCGTTTTCTGAGGTTAACATGTTATATAGATAAAATTCAATGGTTGAACGAGAAATTAAAGAAACAAAAGAAAAATAAAGGAAAAATGACAAAGTCCAAAGTTTGATGACCAAATTCCAAATAATAGTTAATTCAGACGACAAGAAGATACTTTAAAAATTGCCATGAGACAATTGGGTGGAATAAAAACTAAAAAATGAATGGAATATAATCAAAATATTATCAAAATCAATTTCCAATCACACAAGTTATTTTTCAGATTTTTAGTCGAAAATTGAGACCTATTTTTGGTATAGTAAATGCGTAAATTGAAAAAATTTTTAGTAAAATTGTAGCCATTTGAGTTAGCTTTCTAACGCACTGTAAATCGTCTCAATCGAATATTAAGAGAAGTTATGGCCAAAATACTGACTGCTATGCAGAGATTAAAAAATATGTACAAATGCAACTTTCCTTATTCGATTGAAACTCTTTTGAAAACTAGTTTAGATGTAATTTTCAACCAACTTGCAAGAATTCGATCAATTAAAAATTCAAACTTGATTTTTGGACAAAGAAAAGAAGGCGCAAGTGGAGATTCATAAAGAAACCATTGAAGAGATTCAAAATTCATCTTTATCTTC